ACAAGGTTACAAACCTTTGCACGCAACAAAAATGTGCTTTAATCAAGTACCTTTTTGGCATTTGATACGGCACTCTGCAAGTGTAGCGAAATTGTTTCCATAACCACCGCAGCCACCGTAAGTGAACGGACGGCATTCACCAGACTCGGTCTCGAAGGCAAAGCGCTGTAAGAGAAGTAGATCATATGGGAGAACTTGGAGCTCACTCGAACGATGTTCACTTACCTGGAATACGCCATTGCACTCGCCAGCGTCCACATCGTGCTTACAAACATTTGCACGCAACAAAAATGTACTTTAATCAAGTACCTTTTTGGCATTTGATACGGCACTCTGCAAGTGTAGCGAAATTGTTTCCATTACCACCGCAGCCACCGTAAGTGAAGGGACGGCATTCACCGGACTCGGTGTCGAAGGCGAAGCGCTGCAAGAGAAGTAGATCAAATGGGAAAACTTGGAGGCCACCCGAACGTTATTTACTCACCTGGAATACGCCATTGCACTCGCCAGCGTCCACATCGTGCTTACAAACATTTGCGAAGTCACTGACGACCACTGGAGCTGCTGGAATAGAGTCATGATTGGTTCGATTGGCAGCTCATTTGAAGATGAAGAAATTATTATAGGAAGAAGAAGTATGCAATAAATGACCAAGAGATGTCAGTAAACAAACAGTAGGCTTTACTGCTTAGCGCACTGACAACGCATATTTTTCGTGTGCACCTTCGCATGACAACTATTCGGCACCGGTACTCTTCGGTGATAGTAGCTGGGCGACTGCCCACTCTGTGGTTGTCACGCAACGTCTACTGGGGCCGTAAGGTATGCTTCCCCGGGGACGAAAATCCCTTTAAATTTTTTGTTTTGAACGATACTGTTTCTTCATTTTCAATGCATGTTTACTTTAACCTACACACATATATTAAATGTAGGCCCTTTATCAGGACAATCCCAGTTGGGAAGACAGAGAAAATTTAAAGGGATTTTCGTCCCCTAACCCTTCGGGGAAGCATACCTTACGGCCCCTGATTCCTAACAGGTTTATTAGCTTAGTTGTCCTCCTAACCCCTTGCCTTGGAAATTTACAGTGTAGGGAGAATTTTGCTGTTCGCAAGGCACATACGTACGACTTAACAGGTCGCAGGTCGTGGCTTTGTTCAACCCAAATGTTCAATGATACAAGTCCAAATTGGCCGAAGTGACGTCATGGCAAGTGACACCGCTTACCACACCCACGGTCCCTGAATTGAATCCCAGACCTTTCAGGGTCATCCGAGCCTTCTATTCCCCCAGGCAAGTGATTGCTACCATATTTGCCTGGAAGGATGGAAGTTTTCACTTGCACATCGACTGCCCCTTCCCCGACCCTCCCCCTACACTTCTTTAATTCTTTGTTGAGGCAGCCCGCATTCAAAATGCTACTACAGGCTTTCATTTGAATGCAGCGAGTAGAAGTGAATTATAGAGAATGTAGGCTCCAGGATAATTTATGATCAGTTACAAAAATAATTTTTCCTGTAGTTATTCCAATGTATCGCTTAAGTTATCCTTTGATTCCAATAAGTCCAACATCCACTAACTTCAGGATATAAAACTTTATGAAAACTTATTAATTAACAGTGTTAGTTTGAACTTTTTTAATGGGGAGAGCACTTACATTCTTTGTGGCAGATTGCCATACATTCCTCACGACTAGCGTAATTGTTGCCATTTCCCTGACATCCGGTGTAAGTGAACACATCGCAGATCTTGAAATAGAACATGCTTTGGTTCGGAGATTGTTAAAACGTTCAATCAAAAAACACTGCAACGCCAACACATTCTTTTCGAGTGCCTCACCTTTTCTTCAGTTGTCCTCAGTTACCAACGGATGAACGCCTCGGCAGTTCCAGGATCTTTTGGATGAAGCAAAAAAATAATCGATTCACTGAAAAGGAATGCCTGATCAGGGACTTTCCATTTCCTTGAAAGTAGCCTTCCTGGACTAATCAGCATCAACTTGCTTCAGGCAGTGAAAGTGCAACACTGTTGCTGTTAGCGAGTGGTAATGAAGGGTGTAAGAAGTGAAGCAGAAGTCGGTGAAACTCCAGTTCGGGGGGGCCACTCCATTGCTATCTTATCCGTAGTACTAGAGAGCAGTTCTTTGGGCTATCGAACACTACGGATAAGATAATAAGTGAACGACTCATTTCGAGCGTACTTTTGATAAGGACCGGTGGATGTCCTACATTCCACACTACCTGCCCACATCCCATCCACTTTTCTGCACAGGTGATCCACCCTGGAGCTCCTGCACCCTTAGCCCTTTGCGGAGGTGTCCTTTCTCCTGGTCCAGGACCGTTCCCTTGGGTCATGGCAGGCGGAAATGTGAAAACGTTTCAGGGTTTCTCACCCATTACACCAATATTTATCAGAAGTCTACTTTAAATGAGTCGATTACGTGTCGTGAGCCCTCTAATCCTTATCTTGAGTATTGGAGAAAAAATGGAGTGGCCCCCCCCCGAACTGGAGTTTCACCCCGATAGTCAAGGTGATGCTATGTTCTACAAGTAAATTATCGAAGTATGGGAGTACACTAATCGTCACAACCTCTTTCGTCGCCATTTGACTGCAACAGGGTGCAGCTTCCAAAAGAATAAGAGAGTCTGCGTCGATCTTTACCGACCGAAATCAGCATCCTTTCACTGAATTCTTTCTTAACATATGTGCGTAGCTTGAAGAACTTTGGGTGAAGGTGGTCATTCCTAATCATCTTATTCAATGCATTACAAAGGAAATGTGCTTAAAGTGATAGTGGAGAGGGCGCTCCGTGCGCGCACCATTGAAAACGTCTCATGCTAAAGGAAAGCAATTGTCAATGTTCCTTAGGACGTGGTTTTCGAAGACTTCTTCAGCAAATAGGACTACTTCAACTCTTTTTTTCAGCTATCGTTACCAAGAAGATTAAAGTGAGGCTATCAACATGCTCGCCAGGGAAGTTTGTGATTTGCTAAATATTCAGTGCTCGTATGTGCGGGCCGACGTAAAACTTCTGTCGCATAAATTAGCTGTATTTACATCCACAGAAGGGATGTAGTCTATTGCTGTTGAGCAAAATCGCTCAAGCTTACAGCTTGTTATTTAGACACGTAGGGGGGGATACTTTAAAGCATCTCCCACATGTGTCAGAGCTGTTTCAAGACACTTTTTGCGAAGAATGTGTGTCGACAGTGGCTCAACAAGAAGGATGACAGATGTCCAAGAGAGGACAGAAAAAAGAAGAATCTTTCAGAACATCAAATATAAGAATCTCCTTTCCATGTTGATTGTAGGTGCTACGTAACATTATGAAGAGGGCAGATGTTGCTTGGAAGAGAAGTCAGACTGCAAATGAGGAGAGAACTCAGAAAAAAATGAGGTTGAAGGTGACGTAACTTACAAAAGGACAAGTCCCTTATGTTGACCGTGCCGCTGAACGCGAGCGGCGAGTTTCCTAGCTCGCTCATGGAGGAGGATTGTCGATAGCTAATACACAGCTGACTCTTGAAAGCAAGAAAAATCACATGGACTTTGAAGGGGGAACACGTTTTGAGAAGTGTGATAGTTGAAGGGTTTGGAGTGGTCCCAACCAAACCCCCTCTGAGCTGAGGGATGCAATCCACCAATGACGTCCAACATTATGCCATCGAAGTAGCTCAGTTCGCAGCCTTCAACTTCAACCGTGAGAACGAATCTGCCCTTGTATGCGTATCTCACTGAATACAAGAAAATTCGGCCATTCGGTCGTAATTGGTTTGAGCATCAAATCAGGGAAGAGCTCCATTTCATGCAATCCCTCACCGAGCTCTTGGTATTTTATGCATGCTTTCCAGGTGGGAAACATTATGCATCAAAGGCGATAGTGTTCAGCAGATGTGTGGTGAAAATAGAAATTTTGTGAAAAAAATAAACAATGCACAAATGAATCAGTTAATTGAATACGTGTGGTGCGCGAGTAGCATGCGTGCTGAAGGTGTTAAACAGGTGTTAAGATAAGCATGATTACCGCTATCAGCCGAGTTGTCCTCACTACCTTCCAGCAGTGCCATCTGAGGGATGGGTGGAGCACGAGTAGGGTGCCACATGTACTGTTGCAGAGCCCGTAGTGCGCATCCTCTGCACTTCCGGTGTCACTGACGATTCGAATGCGGAGGTGGCTTCAGACGGAAGAACCCGCCCGGAAGCGGTTGCGATGGGTAAGGGTGAGGCCGCCGTTGTGGGGCTGAAAAAGGGGAATGACTTCACGATTTCGCACAACTATCGAAAAAAGATTGCTGATGTCTCAATTCCATCGCTTAAGTGGACGTCCAAAAAGGATACCTTTCCGGAGCGGAGTTGTCCTCGTTTCTGGAGAAGTTGCCTGGTGTGATACGAATTCCCTGAGTTGTTCGGAAAGGCAGCCGCTGGCCTGGAGTGGTAGAAGCGGGAGTCGTTGGAATGCTGTCTCTGACTGGAATGGTTTACTCGTAATATATAATACTTCAGCAAGGTATCTGGACCAAAAGGAGCCGAGTTAGGAATAATGCGAACCTTTTGCAATGCCGCAAGTCGACTCGCAATCCTCAACTTTCTCAAAGTTGTTTTTGTTGCCTTGGCATCCTCCCCAGAAGAAGTATTTGCACTCCTGTAATAGCTCATTAAAATCCATGCGTAATAATTGATCAGCACTATTCTACTTTCGAGGAGGAACTTGCTGTAGTACTACCCTGACATCACCCCTTCCGCTTGATTGGTTCCCACTGGCACTTAATCCTTAGACTACGACTTTTTTAGAATCGAGTTATTGATGTGTTTTGCGTAGTAACTTCGCTCCTAGCAACAACTAATCATCTGTAGAAATTTGGCTGACGTACTGGGTTTGACCTGGGATTTGATCCAGGGACCATGCGCGCGGTAGCGGCCCCTCTTGTCACTACACCATCTCCGCTCGGAGAGCATTTTTAGCATATTATTGGGCAATCTATTTACCATTTACAAAAACAAAATCAGTTGTAAATTGTGAGGAACTTCAAGATAACCTTTTTGAGAGCTACAAGCACTAACTGATGAGCTGCGGCAAGGTTTGCTTTATATCATTCGGGTGCAAAAAAATTAACAGCTGATGGGAGCTCCATAACACTAAAATTTAGTGCTGCTTTTTCGAAGAAAAGCTGTATGTACTTTAAAAAAATAGACGGGTAGCCCAAACCACAGCGCGTTTACGGCGATTCCAATCTCTCATCACAAAGCGCGATGTGTGGGAAAAACTTCTCAACTTAATGCAAAAAAAGAATACAAGGGTCCAATAGCGGCCTGTAACATGGCATCGAGATCTGACTATCTTCGATGCCACTGCCAGCGGGTGATCAGGCAATCCCTTTCAAAAAGCTTCCGCAAATCAGGCAGTTTGTCGGCCATTCGTCGTAGAATCGTTCGAACATTAGATCAAGATAGAGCTCCATTTCATGCAATGCCCTACCGAGCTCTCAGAATTTTATGCATGCTTTTCAAGTGGGAAACATGTGAATCAAAGGCGATAGTGTTCATGTGTAGTGAAGATAGGAAGTTTGTGAAAAAAAAAACATTACAAAATGAATCATTAATTGCAATACGTGTGTGCGGTCCAGTAGCATGCGTGCTGAAAGGTGTTAAACGTGGTTTTCGAAGACTTCTTCAGCAAATAGGATTGACTCTTTTTTCAGCTATCGTTACCAAGAAGATTAAAGTGAGGCTATCAACATGCTCGCCAGTCGGAAGTTTGTGATTTGCTAAATATTCAGTGCTTGGAATTGCCGACCGACGTTAAAATTCTGTCGCATAAATTAGCTGTTTTAATCACAGAAGGGGCGTAGTCTATTGCTGTGAGTAAATCGCTCCACAGCTTAGCAGCGTTGCTTATTAGCACACGCTAGGGTGGAGATACTTAAAGCATCTCCCACATGGGTGTCAGAGCTGTTTCAAGACACTTTTTGCGAAGAATGTGTGTCGACAGTGGCTCAACAAGAAGGATGACAGATGTTCAAGAGAGGAAAAAAAAAGAATCTTTCAGAACATCAAATATAAGAATCTCCTTTCCATGTTGATTGTAGGTGCTACGTAACATTATGAAGAGGGCAGATGTTGCTCGGAAGAGAAGTCAGACTGCAAATGAGGAGAGAACCCAGAAAAAAATGAGGTTGAAGGTGACGTAGACTTTACAAAGGAATCAAGCCCTTTGTAACCCTGCCGCGAACCGCGAAGCGGCCGAGTTTCCTATCTCGCTCATGGAGAGGATTGTCGACTAGCTAATCACAAACTGCACCTCTGAAAGCAGAGAAAACGATGGTTGAAGGGGGAACACTTTGAGAAGGTCATTGGTGGAAGGGGGTTTGGAGTGGTCCCAACCAAACCCCCTCTGAGCTGAGGGATGCAGTCCACCAATGACGTCCAACTATGTCATCGAAACAGCTCAGTTTGCAGCCTTCAACTTCAACCGTGAGAACGAATCTGCCCTTGTATGCGTATCTCACTGAATACAAGAAAATTCGGCCATTCCGTAATTCGGTTGAACATTAGATCAA